GGCCAATGGCCGGCCGCTCGGCCAGCTTCGGCTTTCAGCACGGCTCAGCCGAGCCGATGCATATGCGTTCGGCTCGCCTGAGCCGCTTGGCCATGATCGGGAGCTGTACGGGCTATTGTGAATAGCCCGTACAGCACCCCTTCGTTTCTACTGAACCGAAGGGGTCCTAGGGCCGAAGCTAGCCGAAGGATCGGCCGAAGTTACGGCCAGATCCTTCGGCAGCTTCGTGAATAGACCCCTTAGTGTCTAATAGTGTTTACCATCCCATTGTGAAAATGCTACAGATTTGGATACTATTGCTAGCTTTATGAAGAAAAATTATATATTTTACCTTACCTAAATATTTTAAAATATTTGATTAGAATTTTGTTTTAAAGTATGATATCAGAATCACATTTTGGCATCACTCTTTTCCAACCAGATACAAATGTTATTCTGCCTAGAGATGAGAATGTAATTTTAATTAAATTAAATGTGCTGCAAAACTATTGATTTATCTATTGCCAACATTTTGTCTAATGCTCATTAAGCTGGTTAGACAAAAAACAGCTTTTTAAATATATGTTTATGTTGTGTGAGGGGGTTGCATTTGTGGTAGTTTATTTTTATTTTTTTCATCTCAATATTTCTTTATTAAAGCCAAGTCATGTAATACAGCAAGATGACATTTGGTAAGAAAAATACTCACAGGTGTATGAAACATTAACCAGTCAGTAGTGTTAACAGTAAAAGAACCATACATAGAGTATTATGCCATATCAAGCTTTCATATTTTTCTTTCTAATGAACTTGGAAGGGGGAAACATGAGGGGGGGGGAGAGGGAAGAGAAGTCAACGAGGGGTAAAGTAAAGTATGTACCAGTTGTGTACTTTCAAATAGGGGAAATCAGACAATGCAATAGGGTTGTATAATCCATTTTTTCCATGCCGAAAAGAATGCAGGATAAGTGTTTGTGGAAGTTTATTTATTTATTTATTTATTTGATCTAGTTTTTTTATGTTTTTCTTTCTTGTGTTTGATGCTATTTGTGTACTGCCACTTACAATTGCTATTTTCCTCTTTTTTTTGAGAGAGAAAGTAAAATATTGAGCTTGAGAACAGGTCACTGATAGTTGAAAGGCACTTCCGTAACCTTCAGTAGCCATTTAAAGCCTATTACATCTTTAAAACTGCCAAAACCTGCCTTAACTTTGTATTTTCAATTGATTTCAATGTGTTTTGCAAAAATGGCATATTTGAGTCCACATCTCCCTGTAGAGGTTTCAGGGAAATTAAAACCCTCAATTCTGTTTATCCCTGATCATGAATGTTTTAATAGTTTGCATGATACAGTAGTTCTAAGTGCTATTTTGTTTATTGTTGTGTTTGTCAGAAGGGATGACATATAATTCAGTAGGGGGTTCATGTCAGTGACATTGCAATTGATGTGCATTTGAAACACATGCCAAATGCAGGTCAGCAGAATCACATTAACTTTAATTGAACAGTACACATGGCAGTTAAAGGCTGTGTTTGACTCGCTTAATGTTGCACTGCATTTCTTTGGACATGGCATGTCACGTTGAGGTGTGTTTGTACTGCAGGCAATGTAGGTCAAATGCAGTCTTTTCTTGTCAAATGCTGCATTTGCCATTCAAATAGCAAATGCAGTGTTTGACATGTATGCCTGTTGACATGATCCCTATATATAAGACTGTGTAGTAAGGGAAAAAAATGTTGGTGAATAATTCTTTAACACTCGTCCAACTGTTGTATTTGTATTTGCGCTTTAAGGAAAAAAAGATGAGTTTTACAAACTTGAGCTTAATATAATGAGTATTTACAAAAAACATATTAACAGAGCAATGTTTGAATTAAAAAGGAAATAATTGTACATTTATTTATACACATTTTTATTCTTCCAGACTTTGACTTTGTTATATACCTTGCAACTAAAGATAAACAAATCAATCTGCCAGATACCAGATTCTACCCTTATGCGGTCAATTCTGTGGGTTTGTTTGAAATGACATTTGTCTCCAAATTAATAGTGTAATATATTGTGGAAATTTGAATTAGAAAAATTGAAAATGTATCATGCTCTGCTGCCAATCTTGTAATATTGATGAGTCTTTGGGGGTGATTTACTAACCTAAACACACGCACGCACCAGGTGCGTGTGATTTTTACACAGCAAAGCGTATTTATCAACCAAAAAGTCTCTAAAAGCATATTTCCACTAATGCCATATATGGAAAAATCATGCACATGATGCATATATAATGCTGCTTCACAGTTTAGACAAAAATGGTTAGCTCATGCATTTACATTCCTGCATTCATCAACGCAAGCAACACAATGTAGAGCTAATTTACACAACATCACCTTGCATTTCATGGCAGGGCTTTGCACAACACACCTGCTGGGTGTGTACACAGTACAAAGGTGTTTAGATTCCACCCTTAGATCATGCTGGGAGGGAACACACTACAGAGGTGTATACATGTTCGTGGTGTGTTTATAAGGTTAGTAAATCAACCCCTTTGTGTTTTCTCATGGTTGGCTATTTTTTAAAATATAAATTAACACTTCCCTACCTAGCCCCATAAAAAGTGTGTAGGGTTCCCCGACAATATAGCTGTGGTCCAACTGGAGAAAAGAATGGTATATCTGTTTTTTTTGCAGGGGCCAAAAATGTTAGGGTCCTCTGTTATGGTGATGCCAACCCATATGTGCTTTTTCATCAGGCAGAATAAAAAGGGGAGGAGATGCTTTACCACACTTTCCTCCAGGCCAGCAATGTTATCTGCCTCCCCAATGCAATTCAGTCTATGCCTGGTCATCTTCTGCCTTCAGTATCTTTAGCTATCTCGATAGGCCAAGACTGGATGATGTAACTCCTACGCATGCAGATGACAGTTACTTCATCCCACCCCCTAGGAATACCAAGAATGTACACTGAGCTGCAAAGAAACATTGCTGGCAGGCAGGTAAGATTTATTTATTGCAGAAGAAAAATACATAGTCCTTTCTGGTACAAAAGTTTGCCTACCAGCTTTGTTTCAATCTAAAGCTATAGTTCTGCTTTAACCCCTTCGTGACGGGAGACTGTATGTCCCGCCACAAAGGGACCAAATGACTCATCACGTACACTGTACGTGACATGTTATTTGCTGCACTAGAAGACTGGTAACTGCTGAGAATCAGCGGTTATCATTCATTAATGGATACCTCAGTATAGAGGCATCCATTAATGAAAGGGTTAACCTTTTTCAGACACCAGATACCTGAAG